AGTGTTTCCCCCTCTTGCTCTGATTACGGTTTCCATTCGTCTGGGCATGCTACAGATTATGTTATCGATAAACAGATGATTATGTTATGTATATACAGCACTACTCAATAAAAGTATTCTTTGTATGGCATCACTGATTCGCAACAAACTGCCAGATGATGTCAGAAAGTTGCCTATCTCACGATTTAAGACGATATTACACAAATTTCTGATTAATAAATGTTATTATAAAGTCAAAGAGTACCTAGAGGACAAAAGTATTATAATTTAATAGCAATAGTTTTAATTTAATTGTAACTTAATAATAATAATTTGAATTTAATTATAACTGAATAATAGTAATTTATACATTTACCTAATATATGTGACACATTGTAACAATTTAATAATATTAGTATATTAAATTATAATTTAACTTAAATTTTGTATGACAACATTTTGGATTTGATTATTCGTATTATCAAAAATATTTAATTTCGAGTTTATATAATATAGAGGTATTTAGTATGACAACAATTAGCACTATAGACTCAACTATTGACTATATTTTTTTTCTTATTCTTAATTTTATTTCAAAGCACCATTATTGAATTAGTAATACGTAGACTATATTGTAAAGTATTTGCACACCTCATAAGGTAATAATACAGTGTACATATTCTAATTTTTTTGTAACAACTCTTATACCTGTATTATGCAAATAAATGAGTTTGATTGATTGATTGATTGATGATTTCTTGAGGCAACCGCTCCCACTCCTCAAGTAATGCGTTTCCAAGTTCATTCAGATTGTTGGGGGGTGGCATTCTGGATTTAACCCTTCTTTTTAGCAAGTCCCAGACATGCTCTATCGGATTCATATCGGGGGAATTTGCTGGCCACTGCATCACCGGTATACCTACGTGGCTCAGATATGCCTGTACCGATTGTGCACTATGAGCACGAGCATTATCTTGCATTAGAATAAAGTCGTCACCAATAAATGGGGCAAATGGTACAACATGTTCTTCTAAAATGTCTCTGATGTATCGATCTGCTGTCATGGTCCCTCCTGTGACTGTCACTAACTCCATGCGAGCTCCCAAACATATCCCTGCCCAACCCATAATCGAGCCGCCACCATAAGCCACTGTGTGTTCAAAATTAGACTGTATGTGGCGTTCTCCTTTGTGTCTCCATATTCGCTGTCTCCCATCGATCTGTTTTAAAAGAACTCCGCACTCATCATTAAAGAGAACCTGCTGCCATTCGTTCAAATCCCAATGACGATGTTCTCGCGCAAAGCTTAATCGGTTTACGCGGTGACGTCTCTCAAGTTTTGGGCCTTTGGCAGGTATATACGACCCTAAACCAACTTCTTCAAATCTCCTGCGAACTGTACGCTCACCTACTCATACTTTTCGAACGTCTTCCAGTTCATTTCGAGCTTGTACAGCCGTTAATCGCGTATTCCTACGAATTCCAAGTTGTAAAAAACTGTCATCTCGCCTCGATGTACATCTTTTTCTACCTTGACCCCTCCTCCTCACAAGAGAATTAGACGATCTGTACCGCTGGATGCTGCGATGAATCGTTGATACTGGTCGACGAAGCCTTGAGGCAATCGATCTGTAGGTATGGCCATTTCTTCTCATTTCATCAGTCCTAATGATTTCCAGTGATGTTAACTCAGGCATAATAAAGAGCTTTTAATAAACAAAATTGCCTATAGAATAACAAATTTATAAAAAACCATTAAGTGCAATTTTTCAAAAAAATTACCATTACGTAGTTATTACTCGAACAAGTTGACAAAACGTATTGTTCGGGAAAATAAAATAAATGAATGAAAAAAGTGTATGTCATCTAATTTTCTATTTTCAAATTTGAGAATAAATTAAAAAAATATCATAACTGGCTAGTTCCTCACGCTATTTTCTTTCATAAAATTAAAAAGTTTCTGTCCGACACCGTCCGTAAATTCATGGATACCCTATGCGCCCGAGTGACGTAATCACTGTAAAGATCACCGCCCGCCCTTGATACCTACACAACATTTCAATAAAAACACAATGGTACACATATCGTATGATGTAACTTTTCCTTGATACTTTCATACTGGCTTAGTGTCCTCAAAAATTCCTACCCTTTGTGTTGCGTGACGAGTCAAAATTAATGTAAGTTAGATTTAACAACAAAGAAAATTAACATTTTTAAATTATCTGGGGTTCTAACAAAAAAAACATTGTGTCTTTTCATAAAGAAATGATACTATCTTTCCCCCTGGAACGCCATCTTTAAATAGATTCGGTCTATTGGCCTTATTCAAGAAATCAGCTACATTTGTAATCAGGTCCTCTTTTCGTATTCGAAAGCCTTTTCTGCTATTAACTTTGCTCAAATTTAATAAATCTTCTTCCTATTTTGCTGTCAGGATATTAGGTGGACCTGGTCTTTCATTTTTGTCCCAATGGCTAGTATGAAAAATAAGTGTAGTCCTAGGAACCAATTTTAGTTGTTTAGTTGTAATAGTAGTTGTTGTGTGCAAATTTTAGTTTTTGAAGCCAATTCATGCCAGGACATCCCTTGTATTTATTGCTTCTAATGCTCTAATTTGAAATTTTCTGAAGAGTACTGCTTTCTTTTTTTGTGAAGATTTTGCCTTTCTTTAAGGTATCATAATTAAATTAAGTGTCGTGAACCGTTAAGCGGTCCACGATAATGAACATTTTAATGATTTCTTATATTTACGCGAACACTACACATTGAAATAATACTAGATTTTACGGAATTTATCGCGTGTATTTAACTTTTTAAATACCCGACGTTTCGAACGCTTTACAGCACTCATGGTCACGGGCGGGACTGACATGTTCAACGTCCATATGTCATAGTTAACTGCGTTACCATAGATTAAAATTTAACTTTTGTTCCGATCTATGCAGTATGAACTTCATGGTATCTTGAGTCTTGCAGTTGTATGCTTGTTGGGATTAATTTTATTTATTATAGGATCCCAAGCAGATGGTAGCACCCAGCCATCTTCTCTATTGAAATTAGGATGTTTTTTGATTTCAATAGCCTCGCGAATCATCCTTGGAAGGAATCGGTGTTCTTTAGCGAGGATTTGCGGTCTATCAAATCTGATGTAGTGACGGGGGCGATCCTGTACGTGTTCGCAGACTGCAGACTTCCCGGAGCGTCGATTCTTCACATCAGCTATATGTTCTTTAACGCGGGTTTTTATTGATCTTTTAGTTTGTCCTATGTAGGAGAGACCACATTCACAATCAAGCTTGTACACTCCTGCATCTTGCAGAGGGGAGGGAATTAATTTTATCACACAACTAACGCCCTCATTAGCAATGTAATGGTGAAAGAATTTTCAAAATCGGTCAAGTATTTCGAGATTAGCTAATAAAAACATATTCACAGAAAGTAGCGCCCTCTATAATAAAAATGCATCCTACATTAGATATCTATAAATATACCTAACATTATAGCGGTGAAAGGATTTTACGAGTTTAGCTAAATAAATATATTCGTTGAAAGTAGCGTCCTCTATCATAAAATGCATCGTATGTTTCACAGTCATAATAGAATTGTAATGATGAAAGAATTTTTTAAATCGGTCAAGTAGTTTTTAAGCACCATTGCAAAAAGCGATTCAGCTTAGCACCCGCACACACACTAAAAACATAACCATCCTTTTTCGTCTGTAGTCGGATAAACAACTGGTTGCTTATCGGCTGCTTTGGATAAATATCCGTTGTCAACGGTTGCTTTACACCTATATCATAACATCATAATAATTATCGAAAAGTTATATTAGCATTGTAATAATGACACCGTAAATAATCGATTAAAAACGGGAATCGATTTTAATGAGATTTGTGACTGAAATCATTTTTTATTTTATCCACAAACTAATGAATTACGCATTTACCTAATTTTATTTTTATCATTTCAGTGCCTTTTTTGTGCAAAAATATTCCCATCTTTTTAGGATAAATGAATACCGCGATTAATAAAGGAATAAATAAAGATATATTTTTTTTAACAAATGCATATTGTTGGGCGTTCCATCGCCGAAAATGGGCATCCCCCAGGCAATATAAAATTTAAGTAAAAATTGCATACTTTTGACTTCATTTTGTTTGCAAAGCAATCGTCATCCCTATAAATGACTTCCGTTTTCGGTAGTTGCAACTCACTGAACCATACAGCGAATACACGTTTTGCTTTGCTAGTCACGTTCAACTGCTCTTGTACCTGGTAAAACCAGTAGTGATTTTTATTTATCTATAAACTACCTGTTTTGTCTTTAATCCAAAAATCAACTTTTTTATGTAATAGCTTCCTCTAGTTCTGTCTTAAATGCCGTTGTTGGACACGTAACCTCCAATATTGTTTCTTCGTCTATAATCCCATCTGGTGCGGCTCCCAAATACGGAATTTTGGGATTTGCATAAAGCCCGCAAGGTCTTATATCCACTGCTCCTTGCGTAGATAATTGTTGTAGCGCTTTTTTCATATTCTCTTCCGCGCTGCAAAGGAACGGCATCTATATCAATTTTGTATGGTAATTGCTTTACTATATTGTATCTGGCCTCATTTTGATCACTTTGCCAAAGTTCGAAACTATCAACAAAGAATGAACGAACGTCTAATTTCAAGCCATTCGCTAGACTCGCTTTGCAATATGGTCTGCCGCTCAATCTGTTCTTTCTTAAACTTTTTTTTTAAAATTGGATAGAAAAGTTTCCTTCATTAAAATAAGGACATCTTTACTCACATCCGGCTTAGAGCGAGTTATAACGTCACACGTCTTATGTGGCTTTTTATAATTGGCGCGTTTCTTCAAGCCTTTGAGTTTCCGATACTTATTATCGAAAGTGCTTATTCGGCCTTTAGGGTTTTTGCCAACAATTGTTTTGTACAATATTGTAGTAGGTTTTTTTTTAGTATTGAACGTAATCGCAGAAGCCACCTAGTTTGATAGCCGCGTTGCAGAGAGTAATTTACTTTTTACCCCCAACTAACTTGGCCACAAAGCTGTGAAAACATTCTACAATATTACTTTCAACATCATTAACAGGACTTCTTGAATGACCAGCAATACAACATATTCTCTGCCATACAGAACTTGTGAAAAAATCCGCCGGTACTGATTTAGTTTCCAATTGACTTGATTGACCAAGTGCTTTCTCCCAGGCGTTAGAAACAAACTCGTGCTGTTTTTGGTACATAGGCTCAGTCATCATAGGTAAATCAATCGCCCATAGTAATTTATCTAATTTTGAGTAGCTTAGACCAACAGAAACTGCACCGGTAACCGCAGTTGCATATATGTCCAGATCACCGGAGACATTTAGAATATACTTTTCTTTACACATCGATGCAACAGTGACTGATTCTGTATTTTTTTCCAAATCACCTGGGACATTATTCAGTAAAAACTTTCCTTTACACATTAAACATTCTAGAGTAAACTTGAATGACAATCCAACTCGTTTCTCTCCATCAATTTTTAAACTTTGTACTCCACAGTTATAGGGGCTATGATTGCTGATATCTTGCAATTTTGAGAAAATTATTTTATATCAACAATTCGTCTGCCAGACATATTTCATTTTACTGTTTCTGGTTGATTTTTTCTATAGTTAATTCCGGTAAAATGTCATTTTGTTGATGCTGAGAACAAAATAATTATAATGTAAATTCGTATACGAAAAACTTCCGTGTATAATATTATCTTGATTATTTTTACTGACCCTATAAGATAGGATTTCCCGAATTTTATGGGTTCTCAGACTTGTCGGTTTCCTCAAAAGGTTTTTGTTTACCGAAAACGAATGGTTATCAATGCGCAATGGGGACCCGGAGTCAAAGTTCAATTTAACAACATTAAAAATAGATTGGTATTCATAATTATAAAAAGTGGCTACCGTAATATCCGGCGACGAAGTCTCCTCATCAACTGCCATACCGAACGGGTCGTGAGTTTCTGCGGTAGTCGTAGATGATTGTAATCCATTAGATTCAGTTGACGGATTTTTGCCAAGATTTTCTGAATGGGATTTCCGCTGATTTCTCAATTGCCTAAAAACATAAAATTACATTAGAAATATTATCGCAACAGTCACTCTCAACAAAAAAGTACAATAAAAGAATTTTCAGAAAATGTAAGTAAAATCATCACAGACAGCCAAGTGCGAGCCCTTTCAAATGAGTACAAACTCGATGGTTCTACGTGGTGCCGTCACCGGGATCCCGTACTCACCCTCGGATTACTACGGTCAGAGTGCAGCATCAGGTAAGTGAAATCATCACAGACAGCTAGGTAGCTGCGTGCCCTTTCAAATGAGAACAAACACGATGGTTCTACGTAGTTCCGTCACTGAGATCGACTGATATGTACCCACCTTCGGACTACTTCGGAGTGCAGCATCAGGTAAGTGAAATCATTACAGACAGCTAGGTAACTGCGAGCCCTTTCAAATGAATACAAACACGGTGGTTCTACATGGTTCCGTCACTGAGATCCTGTACCCACCTTTGGAGTGCAAGACTGTAGCATCAGACCAGTTAAAATGGTCTCGTTCATATTGCTTTATATTTTTCACTAGATGTTTTTGTAGTACCAAGCTTATTTGCGGCTAAAGGAATTCCCCGCCTATACAATAGAAGGCAACACGAAAGTTTTCGGAACGCTGCCATACCCTGTATAAGTATTTATGCAAAAATAAATATCTCTTTCTTTCAAAAGAAAATAAATCAAGGATAATTTATTTACCAATAGTTTTGAAGAGCTTGGCCACGCTTCACTTTTGACTTGCTTTTGTATTTCGGCATTGATTGTCAAGCTTAGTCTATTCTATGATATGATTATATATAAAACTAAAACTAAAAACAACTTTATTTACATAAATCAACTTAATTCCTTAATTTTATCAACTATTATTAATGTACGTTTTATTTACAACAAATCAGTTTTTATATATTTCAAATATTGCGAACTTTTTTTTTCAGAAATTAAGTATGTTGCATTCGTTTTTAAACTATTTTCCAAGATACCTAACATTTGTAATAAAAACATTGTTCTTAATTTTATTTTTAAAATTAATAAATAGATTAGAGTTATTTTAAAAGGAGTTTCGAAATATAGCTTGTCGTGTGGTGTAGTTGTAAAAGAATTCTACCCTCATTTCATTCTGTGGGTGTCGTAAAAGAAGACTATGGAAAATGCAGGAAAAAGTCTTACGGCTTCCAATAGATGGCCATCCCGTTTAACGTCAGACGTTAAATAAATACCCAGATCAGCGATGGATAGCAGTGTCACTGGTGCAAGACCGACGCGAAATTACATAACATACATAAACACTCACGCCTGTCACCCAGAGGGGTAGGCAGAGACTACAGACTTCCATTTGGCACGATCCTGACACACCTCTCTCGCCTCCTTCACATCCATATACCTACGCATACATGCTCGTCGGTTAAGGGTACTTCTAATTTGGTCCGTTTTCAATAAATCGCCAATGTGGTCGATAAATTTTCGTCTAGGACGTCCCTTTCCGACTCTGCCATTTCACTTCTGCAACATAAATTTTCTTTGTCACTCTTTCTTCATTCATTTTTTCCACATGACCAAACCACCGAAGTATTCCTTTCTTAATCCTGGTCACAACATCATCTTGCAAACCACACTCTTCTCTTATTACACAATTTCTTACCCTGTCATTCAGATTCAGCCCTAACATTAAAATTATTGAAGAGAATAGGGGAGTCGCAAAAAGTCGGACTGATACTGCCGGGCTAGCATGAGCAGGGGATAAAAATTTTATCCACCGATTATATCCACTGACAAGGGATAAAATTGTCTTTCCCTATGTCAAAGCTTTATCCACCCTGCGAGCGTGGGCCTATGGTGGATATAATATCGACAGTAGATAAACTTATCCACGCGCATAGATAATATACCATACTATAAAGCTATAAACTATACCAGCTATAAACTAGTTTTAAGATTAAGTAGATTTACATTAACTTATATTTTCTTTTACCTTTTGTTTATTACATTGCTAAACTGTTCATAATTTTTGTTAAACAATATGTCATTTATAATATTTGTTATATTTATTTTAAGCGTATTTCTGCCTTGTTTTTATTTTTTCTATATTAATTCTTTCTTTATTTTCTTTTGTATTATATTTAAGTTATATATACATTGCTTGTATCAAATCGCAGGTATTACTTCGCTTGTGATAGCATTTATTAAAAAATATGTGTTTAGAATTAAGCCAATTGTGAAACTGGATAATACAGACCCTTTGGAGGTGGCGTAACCTCTTGAAGAAATTAAAAAAAATATATATCCCCGCAATTACTGCCATTATAAGAAAATTACAAAATACATCAAAATTGATGTCTAGTCACAAAGATTTAATTTTAATTGAAAATGATGAAGCATGAATAATAAAAATGTAATGATTTCAAACAAAACAAGGAATAAATAATTTTATAATCATGAGTATAGTATATTTAGCAAGCTTTGCTAAAGAATTAACATATTTCTTAATTTAAACCTTTGAATTGTAACTTTACTAAGTTTGATAACTTTATTTTAAAACGTTATAATACTTACCTAAAATATAGTATAGACCGATTCTATTATCATTAAATTTGACTTGACCATGGACTCGCTTTGGGTATTGTTGACACAACCTATGTAATTAAATCATGGCATTGAGCTGTTACCGGTAGTACCGGTAGGCGTAGTGTAGGGCGATCCCCTACTTTGGATGGAGTGACGACCTGGTAAGACATGCAGGAAGTCGATGGATGCAGGTGGCTCAGGACCGTGCTTTGTGGCATTACTTGGGGGAGGCCTATGTTCAGCAGTGGACTTGTGAAGGGCTGTAGTGATGATGATGATGATGATGATTGAGCTATTGAGACTTTTTTCGACAAGGTGGTTGTAATAGATGCTTACTTCAATATGCACTGGTAGTCCATCCACAGAATTAATAGGCTTTAAAGCCTCATAAAGTTCTTTACACAAATACAAAACAATCTTTAAGCATCCGAAACCGGCGTAGAAATTCGTTGTCGGAGAATTCCAATAGATTAAGTATTCTGATCACGTATCGATCGCTGATGTAATTCTCTTTCTTGTTTTTCAATTTCTGACACGAAAATGTAGTTGCAATAGGCTCGAGACATTTTTTTGTATTAAAATGGTATGAAGATAAACTTAAACCCACGTCCGCGAAAGAGGATAAAATTGTCCCTTTCAAATGTCAAGGCCCCATGCTACGGACGGGGAGATATAATATGTCCACTCGTTATGTCAAACGGGGATATACTATAGATATAAGATAATTTTATCTCTTGTCAGTGGATATAATCGGGGGATATAATTTTTGTCTCTTGTCCATGCTCGCAGGGTGGATAAAACTAAGCAAGGGATAAAAATTATATCCTCTCTCCGGGGATATATTCTCTCCGGCTCATGCTAGCCCGGCTGGTGAATGAATATCCGTAACTGGAGGAGCTTTGGGAATTTATAAATTTAGAAATATATTTAACAGTAATACAATAGTAACAATGCATTTTTTATTATGACAATAAATATTTTAATATAAATTTAATCTTAAACTGTTGAGCCGTTATTGAGAAAAAATACAAAATAGGTTAAAAACAGACATTGTATTTGATTTTTTTTTTGTAATAATGGTCAAATATTCAAACATTTTAAACAATACTAATAAACTGTCTGATCTAAGCCATGAAACTTATTTTTTGTATATCAAATAAACTATAGGATTCGGCTATAACTTTTTGTAAACCTGGGCGTTTTTCACGATTTGAGCAATGTAAAAGCCTTAAGTAAAGACTCGACTTCAGACACAAGTTTGTCCCGGTACTCGGCGACGATTTCCCGATATTTATTGGCACGGCCGGTTTGTAAGGCATCACCAGTGCTGTCGTCTGCATATCAAAATCAAATCAAAAATCTTTATTTTCGCTTCAGTAATGCTTAAAATTAAATACATTGTTGGAACACTCCCTTTAAGTTAGGAAACTCCTTTCATTCATATAAATTAGTGTTCAAAACTAGGATAACACATAGATTTTTGACTAATGGTATAACTTATATTAAAACTTAAAAAAAAATTAAAATAAAATATCTGTAGGTGTTAGTTTTGTAAATGTGTAGTGTTCGTGTATGCTGATGTATGCATCATCATCATCATCATCATCACAGCCCTTCACAAGTCCACTGCTGAACATAGGCCTCCCCCAAGTAATGCCACAAAGCACGGTCCTGAGCCACTGTGTGGTGTACGCATTCGACCGGGCGCTGCGCATGACTGCGCACGTCGTCCGTAGAGCACGATGTGCGCGGGCGATGCTACGTCCGGTCCTGGCATCCAAGCTACCACTTAACACCAAAGTGCGAGTATACAAA